GGGGTAGAATGGCTAATTTTGACAGCCGAGGTCATTTTTCTGCCCTGTGCAACCTGCCTCGAGGCGGTGCCTAGACAGTAGTGCCTAGGCGGCTTGGCGGGTGCCCATACGCAAGCCACCGAGGTGCCCCGCCTAACTAGCACCTCGGGCGATCGAATTTTCGAACATTGTGTAGGGGTTAAATGAGGTTTTAATTTACTGTCATGGGAAAAGCTGGTCAACTTCTTATTTATCAGGATGGGGCTTTTAGTTAGTTTCCTTTTTGCGAGTCTTATTTGGTGGGAGTAGATCATTGTGGGAGTTCCTAATGAGTTTCCTCATGGCTTAATATGGGGTGCAAGATTATAGGAAAGAAATAAGGAAAAGGATTGGGGAAAAGCGTGAGGGGATAAGTGAAGTGCTAGTACGTGGGTAGAAGATGAATGGAGAGAGAGAGAGAGAGAGAGAGAGAGAGAGAGAGAGAGAGAGAGAGATTTTAGGAAGTTAATTTTTTAGTGCATATTTAAAGAAGAACGTGGCCCTTAGAGAGTTGAGACTTGTTTTTTTTCAGAAGAGTTTTCTTAATAAATGAAGAGATAGCTTTATCTTGGGCTTGGTTTTCAACCGCTGTGTTCCCCTCCATTTTTGCTTAATTTGCTTGTTGAAGATCGAAAAAAGACCGTATTTAATTTCTTGGGCTCCTTTCGCATCACCCTATCACGCATGATTTTAATACTTTTGTAAGTGGAGGATTTCCACAAAAAGAAAGAAAGCAAGAATAAAATGAACAATAAAAAATTCTAATGAACAAGAATAGCATAACTATGGGAAGAGTGTTGATTAGAAACATCTGAAGGAGATGTCAATAAAGTAGTATCAAAAAACTCGGCGTGCCTTAACTAGCCTTGGCACTCTGCTGAGGAGAGTTATAATGGCAAACTTGGGATTATTAAAAATGTCCTAAAAATTTATCATTTTTACTAAATGTCGAATAAAGGATGCAAAAAAATATGTATATATTTATTATGATTTGTTCTATATTTCTATCTTTCTCTTTTTTTGGATTTTTCTGAATTGTTTCAAGCTATAAATCATTTTTTTCCATATTCCATCTTCTATATATGTATTTTCTTTTTTGTTATACTTTAAATGTTGTTTATTACATGTTTACCTTTATTTTTTATCATATGTTTTGAAAACTTCTGGGGCCTCTTGGGCATGTACACAACTTGGTGGATTCTACTCTAATGCACCTTACTTGACTTGTGCAGGGGCCTAGACCCAAGCCATATTTGATTTTTTACGCTTTGTAATGAAGCACCAGTCTTAGGCACACAGATGCATATGAGAGTGGTTGTTAGAGTATTCCTTCAAAGAATGATGCCGATGCATATCCAAATAAATAAATTTTTATTGTTTCAGAATCTAAACATGTCAGACCTACCTAACTTGTAGCATGACCAAGAAATACACTCTGACAACTCATGCACTTAATTTATACTTCTGGAACTTAGAAAATTTCTTCAATATATGGTATTCAAAAAATTCAGATTTATGTCTCAAAAGGTAAATTGTAATTGTTGTTTCGTGAGTATGATAATATAATCCTAATTTCTAGAGAATAGGAGAGGCACACTAGACAGCCAAACGAAGACTAGCAAACACAACATCTTTTATTCTCTGGAACTACTGACTAGTTAGCCAGTCTACAATGACTACAATCAATCAATATTGAAATCTTCATAAAATAATAATTAATATAAAAGTAAACCGTGCAAGCCAATTTCCCATGTCTTCTCAGAGTTCATGTCATTGATGCAAGGCATGAAGAAGTTGAAGAAAAAAAATTGTTGTGATATTTACAGCACTAATAAGTTCCTAGAAGTATAGATGAAAAGGTTTCTAACTTTATGGCTTTCCCAATTAACATCCTAGATAAGACCAACATTATGGAATAATAGAACCAAGCAATTATGAATATTTGATTCATCATCATCGTCAAAGCCTTTTCCCAACTTATTGAGGTTGGCTACATGAATCCTGATCCGCCATTCTGCTCTATTAAGAGCCATACCCTCAATGAGGCCCATAGGTTCTTATATCTTTTCTCACTGCTTCTAACTATGTGGTTTTGGGCCTATCCCTTGCCCTTTTTGAGCCTGCCACTTGAACTAACTCTCACCTCCTAACAAGTGTTATACTGGATCTGCGCCATACATGGTTAGCCTACCTAAGTCTACTCTCTCTCATCTTATTGCCTATTGGTGCCATACCTAATTTTTTTTGAATGTATTCATTTTGAATTCTATCCCTTCTTATCTTGCCACTCATCCATCTCAATTTCCTCATCTCCTCTACACTCATTCTATAGGTATATTGTTTTGACCGTCCAATATTCCGTCCTGTAGAGCAAAGCTGGTCTCATAGCTGTCGTATAGAATTTACCCTTCAAAGCTTCATGGGTATGGGGCGATCACATAGAATTCTGGTTGCACATCTCCACTTCGTCTACCCAGCTCTAATTCTATGTGCGACATCTTTCCTCAATTACTCCATTTTCTTGGATTATCGACCCAAGATATCAAAATTTCACTCTTTTTGATATTTCTTGGCCGTCAATCGTAACTACTTCCTCCTCTTTACCCTATTATTACTAAACTTGCATTTTATACACTGTCTTAGTCTGGTTAATTTTAAAACCTTTAGATTCTAAAGCATCCCTCCAAAGTTCTTTGTGTACCTCATCTTGTAGGTGCCTAGTTAAGTCATCCATAACTAAGACAAAGAGGTATGAGTTCAATGCTGACCCCTGATATAGACCTATTTTCACTGAAAATTCACTTGTCTCTCCACTAGTTGTTCGTACACTAGTTAGGCCCATCGTACATATCTCTCACCAAGTCGATGTAGTGTCTAGAGACTTCTTTCTTTTTTAACACCCACCAAATTAAATCTTGAGGTTCTCTATTATAAGTTTTCTCTAGATCAATAAAGATCATGTGAAAGTCTTTTTCCTTCGTCCCAAACTTCTCAATCAGTTGCCTATGTAGGAAAATAGCCTCAGTTGTTGACCTTCCTGACATAGAACCGAATTGGTTTTCTGATACACTCGTTTCATGCGTTAGTAGTTGCTCAATCGCTCTCTTCTAGAGCTTTATAGTGTGGCTCATAAGTTTGCATAATTTTGAACGTCTCCTTTGTTCTTATAAATAGTTCTCACAATACTTTTCCTCCATTCGTTTGACATTTTCTTTGTTCTCAACACCTCTATTGAGATACCATCTAGTCCTAAAGCCTTTCCTATCTCCATCATTTTCAAAGCTTCTTTCACTTATGATATCCCAATCCTACAAATGTATCTATGATCTCCGCCCTCCTTTATGCCTATGGTTCTTTCTACCGCTATGTTCCCATTGTGTTTGTCATTTAATAATTTTTGAAAATAAACTCTTCACCTTCCTTTGTTACTTCTTCATCCTTCACTAAAGCCCTTTAATCAGTTATGAATATTTGACTAATTAGTATAAAAGGTTGTCAAATGTAGGATACATACTTGATGCCCTAGGGGGTCCGAAATTGAATCCACCATTTTCTTGAACCTTAACAAGTAAAATCAACAATAATAGCGAAAGAACATGGCTGTAAATCAAGCCAAGAGAAGAACTTTTTTCTTTCATAAAATAAAATTTATTTCAATAACATATGCCCCCCAAAATATGACATCCAACCGTATATAAGCCTATGAAACCCGAATTTAACTTGAGATCCAAGTAAACATCTAAGAATCTAAAATACCCCTAAAACAATACTATAATTTCAAAAATACCCCTTTGAACACTAATGCATGAATAGTAACTTGAACAGTACTGTAAATAGTACCTATGAATAGTAAATAAAAAATAAAATCTCTAGAATCCCTAAAAAACTAAAAAACCCTGGAAATAATTCTTAAAACTAAAACTACAATATACATCCTTGAAATTGAATAGAAATAAAAAAAAAGAAGAAATTTTCCCTCCATCAGAAATGCTATGCACCATGATGAGCTTGCAATGTGACATTTATGTGCATTTAAGTAATTTGTACAAACTCTAACATTCAAATATGTATTGTTTAATCACATAGTGAAGATGCCACCTTAATATACGAATTTGGAGAACCAAAATTCTCTCTCAAAGTCTTAAAATCTCTGGAAGAGAAAAAAGAAACGAAATTGACCAAATTTATCCCTATCTTCTTCTCTCTAAACCCTATCCTTGCTCTTTCTCTAAACCCTAATCTCTCTGTCTCACTCCCCTCATCAACACCCAATACAACTAACAAAGGGAGCTCCCCTTATCTCATCCTGTCTCTCTCACTGAAATTTTCAGCTTGCATCTCCAACTCCAGGTTTCTTTCTCATCAAACGTAATTCCTCAAAAGTCCTAATTCTTTCGTTCTTCCAATCAAAAGGTATATTTCTTACTGAAATTTCATAGCCCATATCTCGAAGTCTGGGCTCTTTTTATCAGAATTCTAATGTCTCGAAAGCCCTAATTTCTCTTGTCCATTACTCTCAAAAAAAAAAACAGAAAAAAAAAGGAAAAAGAAAGAAAGAAAATTCTAGAAAGGGTAACATTCATAGCGCTAAAGAATCAATGAGGAATGAACTGATATTCACTAGTCTCACATTTGTATAGATTTTGTGATTTGTTATATATTGAGATTTGTTAGAACAGGGAAAACATTTGACTAGGCTTTTTGTTTCTTTGCTTATGTGCCGTTTTGGCATTGCAAATGTAAATTTCTGTGTGGTGATATTGAGGGTTCTACTGAAGCTTACGTCCTGCACATGTATTTACTTATTTAATTTAGTATCTTTAACATTTTTGATATTATTAAATTGTGGCAAGAAGTTTAACCCATGTTTTTGCTGTCATTTTGATGGATTTTTCCAGCATTGCTTATTGGTGATGAATTAATATGTAATCATTCAATTGATTTTATGGTGATCTTTAAATCCTATACTTTTCTTTAAATAGATGTAGGTCGCGAAGCTTGCATCATCAGATTCTACAAAGCAAAACCCCCAAGGCTTCAAGGCATGGAAATATTCCTTCTAGAGATGATGAAAGAGTTCCTTGTGAGGGATCAGAAAAATGGGAAGTTGACACAAGTAGTCATGGGAGCTCACTGATTGTTAAATTAGCAGTTGCATTGGGAGTAGCTGCAACAGTCACTATATTATGTGCCTGGTTTAAGAAGCCTTCTTTGAGGTCTTCTTTTGGTGTTCCTTTTCTAGTTAATGGTTCATCAACATCTGTTTCCACAACTGTTCCTGTTGGCTTTACCTTGAAACTATTTGGATATGATATATTCCTACCAGAACATACACCGGGGTATGCATTTTATCGCTTGTATTTCCTCTTCCTAGAAATCTCTGAATGATTTATGTTTGCTGCAAATACAATAGACCCTTTTATTATCCTACAAGAGACTTTTTCGATGGCTTGTTGAATTCTTTATGGAGTCGAATGTCAAGTGGGAAAATTGCTCATTTCCTAGTCCTTACCTCCTTGGTAGTACCCTATGAATTTTGTATCATATATGAAGCATTAGGTAGAAAGCGTTTTGAATATTCAGAAATATAAATGCATGTTTTAATGATAATTTACTATTATCATTTCAAATGCTTTTGTAATGCATATTTATCAATATTTTATTGCTTTATTAGCCCTTTATTATTTCATATTATACAGATGTAAATTAATGTCTTTTGATGGAATTATAATCAAAATATACATGGGAAGAAATTATTGATCTCAACTTAATAGGTTGCAAGGAAGGCTGTTTAAAATGCAGCAAATACCTGACATTTCTATTAAGTATTGTTGCAACTGAGGTGGTGGTTCACTCATATAGCTCTTTATTTAATCTCATGCTCTGAGAGTTGCTTAAGTAGGTGTTTGCCTTTCTAAAATTGTGAAGAACTCCTGAGAATCATGGCCCATCCAATCCACTTCTTATCTTTTTGTTAGTCAGATTGCATCAGTTTGGCCTCAGATGCGCTATAAATAAAACCTCAGGGAACAAAAGTGTATTCATGGTGTTGTTTTCTGTCATAAACCACATTCTCTACACTGTTCCTCCGTGTGTAGGATTTGGTACTTCTTCCTGAATTTGTTTCTGACTTTCCTAGGTCTTGCCCAAATGAATTATAGGGAAGCACGGGCCATGGTTCCTGATTGCTTCTTGTGAGAGTCTGCCTTCTACAGAGAATTTGTCCCTTGACTATCTTTTCAAGCTTGTGAAAGAGAGAAATAATAATCTTTTGATAGGCTCTTTTCTAGTTTGCTAGTGACTAAGGGAACATGTCAAGGATTTGACGATCTCAGAGCTGTTGTCTAAAAAATCTCTGGGTTTGGAGAAGAGGACCTGATCTGAGATTGGATGCTGAATGGCCAAAGCCTGGTGTCTACCAATAGAAATACACCTAGAACCCTATTTGTCAAGCCCTTGGAGTTAAAGCATAAGGCTTCTCTGGGATCCATCATTCTGCAATCTATGGTACCACAGATTTATGTTACCTTATTCCAAGTCACTCATGAGAAAGGGCTCTTTGGTAGTTTGCGTTTTGTGTTCCTTTGCTTTAGTATTGTGTTGTTATTGTTCTCTTTTCTTCTTTCATTCTCCTCCTAGAGCTCTTGAAAATTTTATAAGACTTCTTTCGGCTCTTTTCAAGATCACCTGAGACTTGAGTAGGTATGGATCGCAGTTAGGACTTGAGACTGAGGTCTTTCCTAGAGTGAGTAGTGAAAAGGCTCAAAGTGGAAAAGCTGAGAACTCGTTGATGAGTAGAGCAAACAGAATCATCCCGATGGGACACAGCAGCCAGAGCATGGGACCCACGTCATGCACATATGGATAGGCCCCACATCGGATAACTTAGCACTTACGACCTGGATCCACTGCTTTGCAGGAATCCAGTTCAAGTGGGTGTCACATGGAGTTTAATTACTACTTTCCAGTTCTTTTCTGAGGTTTCCACCTTTATCCTTGTGGTGCCTAGCCCTTTCAATCAGTATTAGTGGGATTTACAAGTCTTACACACTTCTAGGGACCTAGAGAATCACTCAAAAAAAGAAACAAAGAAGTGGGACTGATTCACAGAGACATAAGGAGGAGCTCAGGCATCAGGGTAAAAGAAAATCAAACATAATCACAACCCTTTTATTGATTCTGGCCTTTAGCAGTCAGGCTACATTTGGCCGATGAACTTCATACATGGGACTTAGTTACCAGGTCTGGACTGAGACTGCAAAGCACCACCCTAAGGAGGAGGAAAACAGAGAGAAGAACAGAGAGAAGAGTGAAAAATAACTCCTTATTTTCTTTCCAACACACCAGAACTCCTTTGGAGATGTAAGCCCCTCCTTAATATAAGTTTTTTCTTGGGGGAGGAGGAGAGGGGAGTGGTTGTTTCCTTATAATTATTAGGGGCTGTTATTTACTGACCATATGGACAATAATTATATCACTTTAGTTACATCAGCTTACCACGGAGACAATAATCATATCATCTTTTATGTCAACAACTTTTCATATAGGAGATAGATGTATGTGTGTGTGTGTGTGTGAGAGAGAGATAGATGTGTGTGTGTGTGTGTGTGTGAGAGAGAGAGAGAGAGAGAGAGAGAGAGAGAGAGAGAGAGGAATAATATGCTCCATGTGACACCCAAGTGAATTGGATTCTTTTGGTTGAGTAGTGGGTCTAGTCATTGGAGCTGAGTAATCCAATATAAGGCCTATCCTTATCCACGTGACATGGTTCCCACATTCTGGTTGCAAGCTTTCGTTTGGACAATCCTCCAGTTTCTGCTTTACTCTCTGGCAAGTCCTCAGATTTTCCAGATTGAGCCTTTTCACTAAGCACAATGTCTCTTCATTCCACCTCTTCACCTCATCAGTTGAACATTACTTCCATCTGTGCCTCTCTTTGCACTTCCTCAATTAAGGTACTCAGTGGTCTCCTAGGTATAGGTCTTTGAGTAGGCAGTTGCTGCTACTAATTGGATTCCTAAGTTTTTTTGTCACCAGTCAGCTACTGAGTTTGTACTAGAGATTTTGTGTTGTCATTCCCAATGAATCGCTTTTCATTCCAAAGCTTGTTAGTTCATTTGCAGATCTATGGTGGACTATACTCATCCAAGGCTGCATGGGTTTCATGTACTTCGGCATTTTTGACCTTGATACGAGGGGATTTTCTTAACCATTCGTCAGATATAGGCACCTTTAGTAGGCCAAATCTGGTTGCCATTCTTCATCGAACCTGAGGGGTTCGTCCAATGGTCTAAATCTTGTGCACACACCATGAATGCCTTCTAGCAGGGTTGTTAGTGGTGACTGGTGAATACTTTGAAGGAGATCTTGTAGTCGACGCAGGAGGTGAAAGAGGCTCCCTGCATAACATCTCTTATGATGCGTGCTCCCTATTTCTCTGAAAGTCTTGAACATTCTTGCGATAAAGTAAGACCCCTTATTTATGCCATATTGAACATCAGCAGCTCCTGTCCTCATCAGGAGTTGTTTTGCCTTAGCTGAACTAAGGGAATGCCATTTGGTCTCGAAATGGTGGGGCCTAGAAGGATGTTGGCTGTGTTTGTGGCCTGGGATGAAGTTATAACAACGATGACCATGTCTTCACCATTATTGCATTTTTTGGTTCTTCACTTGTCATCACCCCTTTTCAGGTGCTCTCGCTAGTCAGGTATACTCTGGTTAGGAAGTAGGAAGAGAGTTCTCTGCTCCTGGAATTTATTTGATGGTGAATCATATGGGGAAAACTCTGCCTGCTAGAGGGCAATGATCTGGGTTGATGCTAAATCTTTGATGTTCTTTTTTTTTTAAAATGTAAACTGTTCTACTAGTAATGGTGGAGGAGATACAAGTAAAGCATAGATGCTACCCACAGGCCGGGGGCACCAACCCAAAAAATAGGCTTCCCACTGAATGGAAGCCCTATACAAAATTGGGGCTAAACCTGAAAAGGTTTCCCAAGAGCTATAAACAAAAATACAAGAGGCTACTCAAGACTGATTTTCCAAAAAATCAAGTGTGGCTGTGGTGTGCTCCATCTTTAGCGAGAGTGTCTGCCTCGGCGTTGGATTCCCACCAAGAATGCCTCCATAAGATGACCATATCCCTGCAAATATGAGTAATTTTGTCATAAACCTGGTGAGAAACTAGGGGCAAGGTGGGGAGCCTAATGCCCAAATAATAACGTTTTGTGTGTCTCCTTCTATGATCAGAGGCTGGCTCCAAAGGGGATTGAATTGTTTGATGCCTTCCATAAGGGCAAAGGACTCGGCTGACTGGGCGTCATCGTGACCGATATGTTTGGAATAGGAGGTGAGGACATGTCCATTGTGGTCCTTGAAGATGCCACCGACACCTGCTGGGCCAGGGTTGCCAAGGAAGCAACCATCGAAATTCAGTTTGGTATGTCCTTGAGGGGGTGGGGACCAATGGTGAGCCCGAGGGAAACACAGTGGACTGGTGTGCAGCAAGGCTAGCCAACTTTGGAAGAAGGCTGAATAAGGGTTGCCCTTGAACCTCTTGTGGTTAGTAGCCCAAAATATGGCTGAAGATGTGATCTTGTCAGTGAGAGCAGCCATCAAACACTTCTCGTCTTTGAAAATTGTAGTATTTCTTTTAGTCTAGATGACCCAAATGGTAGCTGCTATTGTGGCTTTCCACAAAATCCTGCTGGCTTTGGGCCAAGGACTCGATTGAGTCAAAGGAAAGAGAGCCGGAATGGACAGTAGGGTGACCCACTGCGCTGATCAGTTGGAGTAATGCCCCCCATAGACCCTGGGCCAGAGGACAATTTAGAAATAGGTGGGTGTTGCTTTCTTCATGTGCTTGGCACATGACACACCTATTGGGGATTGGGAGCCCTCTTCTTTGGAGATGGTCAACCGTGAGGGCCCTTTCAGGGAGGGCGATTCAATTAAAGGCTTGGACTTTGGGAGGGGCTATGGAGGTCCAGCTTGGGCGACGATTGAAGTGGGAGAGAGGGGGATAATAGGTGGCATGAGCAGCATTTTGTAGAAAGAGGACACAGAGAAGGATCTCGAGGGTGAGGGGCTCCAGATGATGTGGTCACGGCCACTGGGGCAAGACAGGTTGAGTGAAGCAGGGCAGAAATATTGATAAATTCAGTAGTTTCAGGTTCCAAGCACTCGAGTGAACCTTAAGGGGCATTTCTTCAGCTACAATGGAGCTTAAGATAGAGAGAAAAGAGAGGGAAAGAGGTCATTGAGGGGGGTGTGGCCTAACCATAAGTCGGACCAAAAACGTATTCGACTTCCTTCCTGCGGATGCAATCTGATGAGCTTTGGAAGTGGGTGAAAGAGGACAAAAAGGATTTCCAGGCCCTCATCCGATCATAATGGTTCAAATGGGGGGAAGTTAACTTTTTCAGCTCCTTGCCAGCAGCTGAGGTCTAGACTGATTTTGTAACTAGTAACTGCCACCATCTTTCTTCTGTATACAAAGTTCATGGAACCAATTTTCTGTTCTCCTTTTAAGGTCCTGATCTGGTTCCTCGAAAGGTGGGTTCCCTGTTGCTTATCTGTTTCTTTGAGCCAGTGGTCTCTGAGAGAGTCACGGAGATACTCTTTGTGCAATGTTGCTAAGCCCTGTTGGTAACGAGGGCCTCCTACTTCTTTACCCCCGTCGCTCGAACTCGAAAGAGTCATGGAGATACTCTTCTTGGAATGTTGCAATAGCCCTGTTGGTAATGAGGGCCTCCTACTTCTTTACCCCTGGCAAAGAGATTTTTTTTTATAAATTTTCCCTCAGATCTTTGTGATTGCTATGGAAGCCCATCGTTGCGCATCATGAACCATCCGACTGATAACTCTCTCTCCTGGGGACGTCCTTGGGAATCCTTCTTGAGGTCCTTTATTTTCCACAACTCTAGTGGCCTACTTGGTTCTCTGAGTTGATTCTGCTGGTCTTCCAGCATGCTGATCCTTGTTTCCCAAGACTTTGCATAGGTTTCAGTTGTTTCAACTCACCTTGAAATTCTGCTTGGGTGGGCATTGTAGGATCGTTCTACAATAAAGAGTTTGATGAGTCTATCTACAACCTTCAAGGAAATGAAGTGCGCTTCTGGGATTCTCTTTCGGGTCCAGTTGCACCTGTAAGTGTGGAAGTTCCAAAGAAATCACTTTGACATTCCCCCATCTCGAGGGCATCACAGGGACTCGTAGGTACTCTGGAAACTTGCAGTTCACCCGAACCTTGTGAGTGCACTTCCCTCAACCCAAAGCTATAGGAATCCTTCTAAATTTTCATTAGGCAAGTCTCGAAATTGTTGAGTTACAAGTCGTAGCCAGTAATTTTTCAGCTAGAGTTGTAAAAGGCTAAAAAAAGATCAGTATCACAAATTGTATCTCAAGACTCTGGATTGAGTCAGAGCTTTATTTGATAACACAAATGTTGCCAGACATATCTGACTGAGATTCTTCTTTGGTGTCAAGAGTGTTGCCCAAGCATCTGCATGGTTGTTGTGACTTAAATTCTACATGGGAATATATTCCTTAGTATCCCTTATCTGAGCTGCTTCTACTCACTTTTCTGCTTAACAGTCTTTCCAGAAGTAGACTCCTTTTTTGAAGTTGCAAAATTTAGGCTTGCCGTTTCTGGACTTCCTTTTTTCTCCTTGATGTCTCCTTTTGTGATACTTTTGAGGCCTCCTTTTAGGAGTCTCCTCTCTACTTCTCCATTGATAGTGATGCTTAGAGGATCTCTTTCCTTCACCGTCATATCCTATATACCAAATTGTATGCACATTTCTTTGCTTATTTTATAGTTTTAGGCGGTGGCTTTGGTAACGTAGTTTTTGTACATCAGTCGATAATAACAGATTCTGTCATGGCAAAGGGTGTCTGACAGTAACTTTATCCATTTTGTCTCCCTTGAAACGATTTCGGATCAGCTCTTCTAGCTTGTTAGGGAGTCCTCTGAGGAACTTTTCTTTGTGTATTGTTTTCTGGATATCTGGTATGTGATACACTCTTTGCAGGAAGGCTTGCTCTTACCAGCTGTATCGAGTTAAGGAGGAGGTGGGCATGACTAACATTGCTTGCCTATTGTTTGCATTCCATATCCTCCATGGCACTATAGAAGTGGACCTGGATTGTAGCCATTAAGCTCAATAGGATTAGGAATCTCTCATCCATAGGCATCAGTTTTGGCTGTTTCATCTTCTCTTAGCTAAATAGATCCCCATAGGTCCACTTTTCCTCTATCGTCAAATTGGACCCACCATCGTCAAAGGAGGCCTCAAAAGTATCACAAAAGGAGACATCACGGAGAAAAAATGTCGGAGCGTGAGTCTAAGCATATTGTTGATTTGTTCAGAATTCTGGCCATTAACTTACCAGGGCTATATTGATCTGTCATGTAATCCCCTTTAGAAAGGGACGGGATCTTCATTGGTGAGATCTATGGGCACAGTTTCTACTTTAGTTGGTTTTTGTGAGAAAGCTGCACGAATAGGTGTCGTTGTTTTTGGAGCCTGATTCACCTCCATGCATTGCTTCCACTTGCCTAGAGGTGGAAAAGGGCCAAGCAATTGTTGCTTTCATAGTCAACACTGAATTTGATGCCAGAAGTTGCAGTGCCTCCTTCACTTAGCTTAGGTGGTTTAATGCTAGTTTTTGCTGTAAGAGAACTGGAGTTCGAGAGGTTGAGTTACCTCAAGTTGTCTGTGGCTCATGCCAAATTGTGGCATGGGTCCTCTAGAGTTTGTCCGTAGAAAGGGACAATTTATTGACCTGCTCTCCATGATCTTCTCTTAACTTGTGATTGATATGTAGCACCGTACTGGTCCAATTCAATTGTTGATGGAGTAGGTTTTGGCTTGGGTTGTCTTCAGACACAGATTGGAACTGTAGATTTTTTTTCATTGCCCACAAACCAGATTGGCTCAAATTGTGGAATAGTAGACACTTCTATCACATTTCCTCTTGCAGAGATCCAATATCACCTAGATGTCACTAATCATCCTCCATAAACATAATATAGAAGTGATAGATCGTTTCCTTCTTTTTGGGCTTCAATCTATTCATCCCTGATCATGCTTCTTTCTTGCTGGTTGTATTGGTACAACCAGAATCTCCTCTGCTGAACTTTCAGATATCCTTTTTGAAGTCTATCTATTCCCTCAAAGGCCACAAATTCGTTCCTGATTATTTGTCTTAGACAGTTTAGGAGGGTAATATCTTCCCAGATTTGAGGGCATGATCCACTGTTGCTGGAAGTGGATCTTTTGGGCTTCGATGAACTCCCTTAACCACTTTTTCCGTCAAGGATTCTGGAAGTATTGTTCATCCAAGCGTGTAGGCCCAGGAATTTAGTAGGGCTTCCCGGGCCTTGACTCCTTTAAGGAAAAATTGGAGATAGATGAACTGGGGAAGGTTGGCATGCTATAGATCATCATGTTGCACCTCCTTTTTGTTGGGGTTTTGAGACCTTTAAAGGTTGTGAGAGCATGTAAAGAAGAATTATGGTGGATTCTACACTTTAGTTGGAGTGTGTGTGTTGGTTGACTGACCTAGGGTTTGGTGGTCTATGGTCCGGGTCATGTCCAAAACCCTTACTTTTTGAGCATATGGCACTACCGAAGAACGTTTTTTGAGGTGGGAGAGATGCCCAGGGATGGTCCGTAGGCGAGGAGAGCTTCGTGGTCTCTTGTGTGTGAACATAAGCCTGTGACAGCGATGATTAAATCCTATACAAACTTTCGCACGGCATGTGCACAGAACATCTGCATTATCGAGAAGCAAACTTGAAAAGGAATGTGTAACTGTGATTAGAGTTCTCCTTGCACTATAGTGATATGTGCGTATCTTGCTCTTAAGGTGGGGAACCTGTAATCCACATTCCTGGACCGTGGTTCCACTATTTATTGGCTAGCTTTGATGAGCCAACCATGGACCCTTCAAGAGACTATAGGTCATGGGTCTCATTGGATTGGTTTGAGAAAGCAGTCGAGGTTCACGATTACTGGGTTAGGTGGAGTGCCTTGACAGTCACTTTTCTGGACCCATTGGTACTTGTCCACTTCTAAAATGACTTGTTTGTTTAATCATTGATAGTCACTTTTTCTTCCTGGAGGTCTAGTTTATGAGAATTTTCTGATCTTTATTTGGATGATGTTTTGTTTAATGGTTATCAATGAGTTGAATTTTGGATCATCAAAAAAGAAAAAAAGTCCTTGAGATGATGATAGAGAAAATTTAGATGTAGAGCAGCCTATTATATTGAGACGAGAGGGAGGGAGAGGAGAGGGTGAAAGTGGTAGAGAGAAAGGGGGGAGAGAGAAATGAGAGGTTTTGTAAGGGGAGGAGAGAGTAAAAAGGGAAAGACCATATTTAGTTACCAACCATTGAGTGGCTCATCCCAGTTAATTTGTCTTGATCTCTATAATGGACAGTGCAAAAGAATTATCCACCGTAACATGATGGATTCAAAGTACACGAATCTTTCCCTCCCAAAAGATGCATATAACTAAAAACTCAGGCACATCCCAAGTATCTCATTTATAAAAATTTGACAGGTGGGAATTGAGTTAACTTGTGAGCTTTTATGATTTACATATGAATTTTTATTCGCTGAAATCAGAGAATGATCTAAAGTGGGAATTCGTTCAATCAAACTGAACAAGTTGGCTGATATGATCTATGGGAAAGAAAACATTACAAATGGAACGGTCTAGGTGAATCATGGTTTGGATTAGTTTGATCTTGTTCAGAAATTTGTTTTTCAAGCCTACTAAAAAAGTTATTCATTGGTAATGTTCCTCCTATTCTTGCTGGAGATTTTGGGAGACAAGTAGACAAGCCATTTAGTTAAACTTTTACATCTATACGAACAACAAGAAATTTTGATGATAAAAAAAAAAAATTTCTGCCTAGTTTATGGAAATAAGGTGGAGTCCAGTTTTCCTACATTTTTCCAGCAGTTTTTCAGTAGATGAGTTTTTCTCTGTGTGAAGTTTAACAGTTATGCTTCCAACCTGGGTACTTGCAGGTGGATCTATTTCTGGTTGCTTATGGCTGCAGGATGTGGACTTTTCATTAGTGAGGAGGCGCTCAATATATGGGTCTGTCCTTTGCACTGGTACTTCTGTTTAACCAAACTATTACTCGAAGAGTGCTCATTCTAGATTTATCCTACTTTTATATTCCATCTTATTACTATGAGATGCTTTACTTTTGCCTTGGAAATTGGTTTAAATACACCTTGCACTAATCCATTTTTGGGGTTAATGTTGTAGGTTGGCATATCTTTAGCTCGAATGCTTTCCCTTGATGGCTCTTGGAAGACATTCTCTTTGTCATTTTCAAATAATTCTTCCTACATCATTTCTACAATTCTTTGGGTCTACTGGTATTTTCTTCTTTGCATATGCTATTTCGTTTCAACTTTCATACTTAAGAGTGATAATAAGTTACAGGAAAAATGTTAATTGGAATTAGAGAGAGCATTTCAAGCTGGGATGTATGATTTGAACTAACAATCCAAAATCTTTTTTTCGACCTTTCATATCAGGCAGGGACCACTGCCACTATATAGTGGCAAGTCAATGATATGGAGATTGTCAGTATCAACAAACAAAAAGGATTATGAAACAAAACATCAAATACTGATTATATTTTAAATAGCATTAGATTGTGCATTATTTGTAAGATAAAAGATATTGTGGGTTATAATGGATACTACAGTGTCCCATGTCCAAAAATGACAGATATGATGGGTTTGTTCTTTTATTTATTAAATATTCATCATATATATTTTTAGAGATGAACATATTTAAAAGAACAACAGACATAAGTGTTCTCGTAATGGATATGATACCTTTTCTTTCCCCAAAATTTGAAACATGCTATAATGGCTTTATACAATTATATAATTACCGTTATTTTAAAATACCACATTATTCAATTCAAACAGCTATTTCAGTGGTACCTATTGGTGTTGTTCGCTACATTGATGGTTTCTGAACCATGATTTGGAGGCAAATTAGTCTTTGTACGTGGGGCATATATTATTTACAATTTGATAATCATGTTCGGATAATGGTTTATCTTATCCTTATATTGGAACACTGGCTATGCCGCCATTCTTACATAAATAATGCAAACCTTCAGGGGGGTGTGCATCAGTGACATGATACCTTTTTACCTTGGCCAGTTTGTTAGGCAGAAGACCAAGGCACCTGATGAAATTTGTTCTAAGGTTTGTAAAGGGTTCTACATGATTCTTGATATTGGACAAAACTAGTACCTCTGTTTTGGTTAGGTGCCAAACCTTTCAAGTTTCACTTGTACATTGTTTTTGCTTACAGTATACAAAGTAAATTATCTTTTTCAAAGTTACACAAAGGAAACTTTTCTTTTGATAAAAGATTGTGCGAAGTGCTACTGAGCTCATTTTGCTTCATTCCTTTCAGTTTTCTTCACATACTTGTCTAGAATTTGATGATACCATATTGAATGCCTTTTTGGATGAATTATAGCTGGGAATATCTAAGGAGAAGTCAGAAAATGTTGCCAGTGCTGTCCAGAAGTATGGTAATCTCATAGGATTTGGTGAGTACAGTGCAGCCGGCATGAGTTCAATTAAACATTTTGTTCTCAAATTTCTGGTTATAGTCGACAATCTTTATACATAGATTTCTCTTTCCATAAATTTGGAAATTCTTTATTCTCATACATCTGTAGGTTTAAATGATCTTTTCTGTCCAAGGCTTGTTGATTTTATCTCTTCTCGAGCAAAGCTTTTGTGCATCTTCACATGGCTGAGATGTGGTCAACCTTCTAACATGATGTAAATTTCTCTTTTATGCTTTTTCTTGGTGAAATATGTCATAAAAATTTTTTAATATGTGTTTCTGGGGTGTTTGGTCTAAGACTCTAGGAATGCTACAAGAAGAAAATGATAATACCATTCCAGATGCTTTTAAGTTTTAATGTTTTCCAGCGATGGATATGTTTGCATACTTTAAGATTTGTATAAAATTGCCTGGGAACATATTCCTTTTGTGTGTAGGCTCTTCCGGCTGAGAAGGTAATTGCTCTCTAGCGAACAATATTTTTGACAAAATGAATCCCATCTATACTCCAGGACTTAATCTCAATGCAGCTCTGTGGAGCTATCTATTTTTTATGAGATGAAGCGCATATATACCTTGTTCCTTATCCTATCCTATTGGGTTTGTTTGGATTAATTGGCTTTCTATAGTGTCTTAAGTCATTATTCTTTGTTTTCGGGCCATTAAAATAGGTGTACTTGTATATCTATAAATGTGTATACATCTTTAAATAGTGTTCTCTGTTCTTGGGCGAGCATATTCCCCTAAGGGCATGTCTTTCGTTTATCTTTCTTAATAACTCTATGTAAGTGAATATTTAGCTCAGATTTATTAATGAGATAATCTTCCCCTAGAAATAGGAATTGTTCTATTAATGTTGTTTTGGGGTTTCGAGTGTGAGATTTAGGGGTTTGAGAGTCTAGTGGGACATGCGTTGAAGTATGGCTTCCTAATTGATCTGCAATCATTGGCCTTTACTATCCATGTCCTGTCCTGTTTCATCATTTGTTCTGTCATTCTTTTTTCTTTATCCTATCCTTATCTATCATCTTCTATTCAACCATCTATTTTGACCAGCCTTAGACCTATGTCTCCCCAAAATTCCCAACACCTGTTAACCAACATATGTTTTATTAAAAAAGAAATCAACCTAAAGACTTTTTACCATGCTCTGCCATATCTGCCTTGCACTTGATTGCTTCATATTGCAGTTGGAAACCTCCTTGCTGGATTGTGCTTCACAGTCATGGCCAATTTTTAATTAATCTCGTCGACTCTAAAGTTGTCATCATGCAAGGGAACAAGGGAATCTAGAAGAAGCCAAGGTTGTAAAAATCACATAATAACCAAATAATCTCACAATTGGTGGAAGGCATTTTGCGGTGTTCAAATGCAGTGTCAGACTTGAAAATAGTAGTTTGCTTTCAATTCCAGTAGATGAGAGAATTTTCTAGAAAAACACAAGAACTTGTTGTGGAGTTGGTAGTACCAAGGAAACCTACTCAATAAACATTCCAGTGGACGTACCACTTTAATGAGGATGAGGGATGTATTAAATGCCTCTATCCGAAGTATCTCATATTCTCACACATATAATGGATCGTGATGAATGACTGAGATGTAGGTGACAAGAATCAAGACTGATGGCTTGACACCATAACAGCTGTGGGCAATATCAACCATCTCTATGAGTTAAAGTCCGCCATGTGGATGACCATCATCCTCTGAATAATTAACATTAAACCCCACAGGTGTGTCAATGACATTATGATTCGTAAAGTGAGCTAAATCAATAAGGCATTGATGTACTCTGATGAAGCCAATAGGTACTTGATGACCTATGAATTTGATGCCCAAAAACTCTCTCCTGCTCAAGATCCTTCATCTTAAAATGTGTTTAAAGAATTTATTGACATGTGCATTGCTTCCTGGGCATAGACCATAGTGTAGCTGTAAACATGGCATGTCTTCTTCTGTGGCATCTCGATGTCTACTTTACTGTTGGACGGTGGATGCTCCAACCTGAGCACCCTGTCGTTATCTCTGCCCAGCATATATGTTGTTTTCCAACAAAAGAATAAGTGAAACTTGTAATATATACTGTGAAAACACCTCTTGAATTCTTGTTTGTAGAATTCAGTTATACTCTTGGGCATTAGAAACAATGATATAAGACCTGACATAAAACAAAATAACAATTTGGCATTATAATTGTGACACCTTAGTTCCACGATTATATGCTGTAAGAAAAAGAAAGTATTAGTGTGTTATTAGCCTCAGTAGTTCCTTTCTAAGGAAATATGTTTGTTTTTTGTTTACTATTATAAGACCTGAATTATTTGCTTTATATATTGTCTAGATAGATGACTGCAATAGAAAATTTTTGGGAGAATGCATAATATATTCTTCTTTTAAATACTAAGCATTGTTGTCTGAAATTAATTTGCTCTATTTTTCCAAATCATCCATAATTCCATATAATGACTTAAAAGTCCTGACATTTCAAAAATAAATGACTTGAAAGGTCTTGTAAATCACATTTCTCTTGTTTAAGATTGTGACTTGGTAACTCTTGATGTGCTTTGAATGTGTTTTCAAACAATTTGAGTACTCTCTGGGACATTTTTATTTTCCTTCCGGTTTTGATAATCAACTCTTCAGTTAAGTCAGCCAGCAAAATCTGATGGAAGTCTTGCGAGTCGACAGCAATTTATCAATTAGTCACATAGGAGAGAACAAGTTAAGAATATGCTAGTAAATGTAAGGTGCTAACAATTACTGAAGCTACTGCCAAGGTGTAAAGGTTGTTTCTACTGTCCAAAATTACATGCCTTTAGAAAGATTAATCTGGTTTTAGTCTCTTGTATTCTAGCGTATTTGTTTTTTCTGCACTAGTAGTAGTGTGTTCTAGCTTTTTTTTGTGCATGAATTTTTGGATCACGACATATCCTATTTGCTTGGAACCTTAGAGACCTTTTTTTTCATTTCGCAAGCTCTTTCTTTTGTCCACTGCGTACTATGATATTTATGCTTACAAGTTCAAAACCATTTGTGTTGCAGTCGAGAGGTTCTCACTTGGCGTACGGAATCCGACGGCTTTTTTTGCAGGGGCCATGGTTTGTTATCTTCACTCTTTCAAACAATAACTGACCAGCTACAGTTTTTGTTATTCCAATAGTTGCTTCTAAAGAGCATGCGAATTTATCAGACATGGGATTATATTAGATTATAAGTTTTTGCTCTCTTTATAGAACCATTGTAAGCCTAGTTTTTTTTTTTTTAACTTCCGAATTCAGTTATTGTGGTAGGTTTTCTGTTGAGTTGTTGAGCTGGCTTCTAATTCTTTAAATAAGATGTTCATCGTCTAAACGATAACTTTGATAGATGATGGAGCTGGTTGTCATTAAAATACTGAGTACTTGGCCCAGTAGTGCAAATGAAATCTGTGATGAAATGAGGGTGCATATTATCAGAACTGCATCATCATTGTCATTAAATTAGTAAATCTTGTGAGCCAAGGATTTTTAAGTTTCACAGAAAATAAGTTACAACAATGCAAGTGGCTGACCGTTGTTTTGATTGACATGTCATAATAACTATAGTAGGGCTTTTTTTGGTAAGCACAGCTCTAGGATAGAAACTCAGTTTATGGTGCCACTAGCAGATCTTTTGTGAGTTGCATCTTATGGGGCATTGGACCTTTTGCGGGGAGATATGCTCTGTCCAACCTTGAATATTGTCAACAAATTTAATTCATGGCCCATTAGGTGGGATATTTATTTAGACTGATAAACTAAAGAAGAAAGAGGCCCCTCAAAACAAAGTTCGAGTACCCTTTCTCCATCCATTTGTTTCATTTCTGGGTTTTAGTTATAGTTGTTGGGATTGGGAGTTGGAACGGTACCGGGATTGGGATCGGGAGCGAGGGATCGTGATCCCTATGGTTGGGAACGTTGTCCGTACAATGCACATGTTACGGCTCGCGATCCTCAAATGTTAAGGATCGAGATTCCAACCCTTTGGGGATCTTAATCCCAACCGTTTGGGATCTTGATCCCAACTTTTTGCGGATCATATTACCAACCTTAAAGTGCCTGATAATCTTGGATTATGTATACTTTTTCAATAGGGACTTAATTATTGTTAGCAAGCAATAGTTGTGTTGCTAGTTGACTATAAACAAAGAAAATCATCAGTTTGGTTGTTGTCTTGGTCTTTAAGGTTGGCATCGGGATCCTTACCAGCAGGAATTGAGATCCATATTAGTGGGGTTCGAGATCCCAAAATTTAAAAATTGAGATCCATGAGAGATCCATTCCAGGAGTGAGAATCAAGATCCTACAAGGGATCGCCTACCAAAGTAGGAGATCATGGTAACGATGGTTTTAATATATCTATATCTCTATAGGTTCATGTTACAGTTTTATAGGGTCATGTTGTGGTACACTTTAGGTATTGGATATTACAGTCCAATGCCGAAATTCTTTGCAACACCTAAAATAGAAATACTAGAGAGTCACAAATTTTGCAGAAATTATTCCCTCATACTGTCAGAAAAGGGAGAGAGGGATGAAAGGAAAGAGGGAGAGGAAGGGTGAGTGAAGTGAGACTCCCAATTGGATCTCACGCACCTCGCATACGACGTTTACATTACTAAAAAATAGTGAAAGGGCAAAACTGTCCATACAAACTGAAATAGGACATACATTCTATTAACTTAAAATAAAACGTAAGTAAGAATTAAAAAAGGGACTTCTAACACTCCCCCTCATGCTAGAGCATATCTGTCACCCATGCCCAGCTTGGAACAAATTGTTTGAAATAGATTACGACTAGGAGCTTTGGTGAAGATGTCTGCCAATTGATCTTTAGATTTCACATATGCTGTAGACACCTGCGTATGAGTGTCTCTCTCCATTAAAATGACAGTCTAGGCTACTCAATATATTTAGTTCTCTCATGAAACACACGATTGTTGGCTATATAAGTAGCATCTTTATTATGACAACATCTTCATAGGCTCGGCAATAGTAAATGCCATCTCATGCATCGATGTCTTTGGCCACATCAATTCACATGTAGCATGTGCTATTGCTATATATTCAGCCTTTGCACTTGACCTGGCGACAACATTTTGTTTCTCCTCCATATAACCAGATTTACGCCAGTAAATGTACAACCACCTATGGTAGACCACCTATCTGATGGACAGCCTGCTCAATTACCATTTGAGTAACCCTCAATGGTCAAATGATTGTTTGACTTATAAATTACACCAGTATCTAGAGCTCCCTTTAGGTATCCTAAAATTCTACAAACTACATCTCTAATGACGAATCCTTGGAGGTGCGTAAACTGACTCACTACACTTACCGTAAAAGCAAATATTAGGCCTAGTAATATTCAATTAATCAAACTGCCTACCAATCTTTTGTACCTTCCTAGATTCTCAAACAATTCGCCCTTATCAGCCAATGATTTTGTATTTGAATCCATAGGAGTATCATCTAGTTTAGCCCCCTAATATTCTAGTCTAAGTCAACTAATCAATCACATACTTTCTTTGTGACAAACTAATGCCATATTTTGATCTGGCTATTTCAATTCCTAGAAAATACCTTAACTACCCAAATCCTTACACATTATTTCAGGTGCCTTTTCAAATGATTGATTCCTTCTTGATCATTGCCTGTAATGACAATATCATCCAACGTATACAACGAGGAGAATTATCCTGGAGTCTTGTTTCGAAATAAACACAGAATGATTAGCATGGCTGCGTCGAAGGCCATATGCCACAACAATTTCATTAAAATTTCTCAAACTAGGCCAGTGGGGACTGCTTCATACTATAAATGAATTTCTTCAAGTTATATACCTTATCTAAATCCTACTAAGCAACAAACCCAGGGTTGTTCCATATAAACTTCGTGTAAATCACCATGGAGGAAGGCATTCTCACACATGCTACCACAATGGCCAGACCTTGTTTGCTGCCATAGATATTACTACTCAAAGTGAATTAAGTTTGGCAATAGTTGCAAAACTCTTAGAGTAATCAATCCCAAATGTTTGGGTATATCCTTTGGCAACCAGCCTGGTATTTATTCTCTCGATGGTGCCATCTGGCTGATATTAACCAGCCTGGTATTTATTCTCTCGATGCTGCCATCTGGCTGATATTTGACTGCATAAACCCAGCGACACCCTACAATTCTTTTTCCAGCTGGTAAAATCCGCGAGCTCCAATATATCATTCAAGTCAAGTGTATTCATTTTCTCTTCCATTGGTTTCTTCCACTCAGGATGAGAAAATGCTTCTTGATAAGATTCAGGGATCGAAATAGATGAAAGATCTAAAGCAAAACTTTGATATGACAGGAACAAATTTGGAAAGGTAACAAAATGAGCAATGGGTTATTGAGTACACACATGGAAATATGAGCACTATCATCTCTGGACACAATATGTGAGTTAGAAGCAAGAAGTAGACATTGGTCGGGGCCTGATTTTTTCTCGCACGAATGACGGGAGAAAATCCTCTCAAACAACCGTGGAGGGTCCGCTCTTGCTGCACATCGGTGAGTGTGTGCACGTGTGCTCTCCATGCCAGATAGAAACCAACAAAGAGAGTTTTTACGACGTGGGCGCGTTTAGACTCTTACCTCGTTGTTTGGGGTTCGGGGACACACCTGGGCAGTTCTCCCTCTTAGAACAGCTATGAATCCCTCCGGCTGTCTGCCAGCGCGGTTTGGACACAGACTCTTTTCAGGCTTTTAGCACGTCGCTTCGTTCTCTTGTGCTGAAAACTGTAATGTGGATTCAATTGTACTCCTCTATAGTGGCTCACTCGAACGAGGGCTGGCAGGCAAAAAGAAGGGATAAGGGAGAAAGATGGCGAGAATCCCCCTATCCGCGCAAACACTATGCGCTCGGGCAATCAGGGCAACCGAAGGGTTAGAACTATCTTGACTATTGGCTTTGGAAGACTCCTCCTGAGTGATTGAGGGAGAGAGCATATGCGTCTCTCACAACTCAACTCAACTGTACGGAGAGGAAGTCAGAGCGATGGTCCGAAGGTTGGAACTCTTAGGCTGACTCTAAAAGGTATTGAGTCGAGCGAATGTCGGATAGCGAGATGTTATGCAGAGCCGCAGGTTTGCTGCGTTTACGCTCGAGATGCAAGGGGAAAGAGACGGGACTACATGTTTGTTGCGGGCCTAGGTTACTGCGAGGGGCGAGCACAAGTGAAGATAGAGAAGAAAGAAAGAAGAGAGAGAGAGAGAATGGAGCCGTGCGATTAGGGTGGGCCAGGGGTAGTTTGTCTATGAAGGTTTTCTCTCTCCTTGATGCTGGATCTAAGGGTTAGAAGCAAAAGACAAGTGGAAACAAGCTTAATACCTCTATTTCGTTAATGAATGATCGAGCCCTTTCACAATTGACCAAAGCTTGTTTATATAGAGGACCCACCGAACAAGGATGGATGCTCAAAACTAAGCCTAATAACAATTAAAAAAAATTACAATAAAATCCCAAATTTAGGAATAATGATCAAAATGCCCCTTAAACCTTTTGTGCTAATGATGAAACCATCCCTCTCTGAGGGGCCTTTCGTCATTGCCAGATCTTGGAGGCTTTTTTGGATGCTTATGGCGGTGATTCAGACGATCCATCATCGTAGTCTTGAGACGGACTTCTTCCCGAGATGGACTTCTTCCCGATCCATCAAATTCAGACAGAAGTCGTCTTGAGACGGACTTCTTCCCGAGAGATAGAAATCCTGCTAGATCGTGAACTTTGGCCATTAATGCAATGCAATCCATGGTGTTTCGAGTCTTTATTTTGATTGCAACTAAAGAGGAGACTACCACAATTGTTTTACACCAAATTTTGTCTGTTTTGGTTCTTGCTTGAAGTTCTTTCTGAATTCGGGAGATCGTCGGAAAAAGGGGTTTTGGCGACCGGGCGATCTTCCTTTTCTTCAACCATGGAATTTGTGATTATCTGACCTTGGATTGAGTGTAAAGTTATGCCAGCTTGTAGCCCTTCGTTATACGGTCTTATCTAACCTTTTCTATGATGATCCGATGTACAGATCTCGAGTTATTGCTTCACGAAATTTGAGATGTCCTTTCTTCAAAAGCTCTGATTTCCATGGTTTCGAGCTCAACTTCTCTCTAGAAAAGCTTTGATTCTGGGTCATCTCACGACGCGTACCATATGTCAAAATGATCGGGTCGTCGAGACCTAGCCTGTGTCTGAATTTGAGCTTGTTCCGACTCCAAATGAGTGACGTGTGGGCATTTGCAGATCATCCCGAGATTTGAAGAACGCAGCCTCCATTATTGGGGACTGGTTCGGTGAGGCCATACTACAATAGTGTACAACTTTACCCGTTTAGGTAATTTGGGCCCAAAATGTTCCTGGGAGGTCCGATTGAGCCCAAATTTGGTCTTCGAGGGTTTTTCGACGTTCTGGATGCAATGGTAGTAGTATGGTATTGTTTTGAAGCCCTTATCATAGGGTTGTAGTTGTAATGTCTCTTTTTGACATGATAGTACTTTTTCCAAGGTTGCCTAGTGTTAGGTTTATTTTGCAGTGTTCTCTTGGTCTGACGGTGCCTTGGGCACTAGCAGGACCAAGTCGTCATTGGCTCTCTTCTTATTTGTACCAAGGATGTAAGTACATAAAAAATGACGTACAACAGACATATAGGCGAAGATGATGATTGAGTGGTTGGGTGAGCCGGTGGAGGGTGTTGATCATACACTTTCCTTGTCATGTAAACCTTTATGGCTACTCTTGAGGGCAGTATGATGTCTATAAGCAATGGATTTGGCTGGTCCAGGCAATTGAGGTGAAGAAGAAGTGAAACAAGAATAGGAGGATGAACTATAAAAGATGAGGACTGTAAGACTTCTTCTGGAGCAAGATAAAAGAAATTCATATCAAGCATGAAACCGTCTTATGAAAAATATGGGGTGTTTTTAAAAAAGGTAATATCAACACATTCTTCTATTTTTTGTAAACCAGGATGATAGCATCAATAACCTTTTTGAATGCGTGACTAACCATAAAACAGACTTGACAGCTCGAGGATCTAACTTATCATTACAAGCACCCAACTCGTGAACAAAGCAAACACACTCAAACACTCATGGAGGAACAACAAAAAATGGAGTATCAGAAAAGAGAACAGAGTGTGGTGTTTTTGCAATTCAAAACTGAAGAGGGCATATGGTTAAGTGCGGGTTCAAATAAATGTCGGTTTTTTCTTTCAGCAACCCCATTCTATTGAGTAGTATGCACACAAGAAGCTTGATGTAAAATTTCATTTTTGAGCAAACGATTTTGAAATTGTTTAGAAAGATACCCTTTAGCGTTATTAGAACGTAAAATGCACGTTCTTATTGAATTGAGATTGCATCTCATTATGAAACAAGTTAAAAATGAAGAAAATGTTATATCTTTGTTTTATTAAATACAACCATGTCATTCGTGTATGATCATCTATGATAGTCACAAATTATTTATGGCCAGGCAAACTTTGTATTCTTGTAGGACCCCAGGTATTAGAATGATCAATTGTAAATGGAATAGGTTTATGTTTAGCAGTTATAAGACGAAATGATACCCTATGATGCTCACCTCTGGCAAGCTTCACATTTTGAAGCAGATATAGACTCTAATGAAGGGACTAACAACTTCAAGTTATTGAGAGAAGGATGGACCTACCCGCAATGCCATAAGAAGGGAGAGGCAGCAGAGTGGAGTGCAACACCAATCAGATTATCATCCAAATATGTAGACCACCGGACTCATGCCCGTCACCAATCATCCTCCTCGTCCTTTGATCTTGAAAGATACAAGAAGAGGGGTAAGAAGTTATAGAGCAATGAAGAGATTTAGTTAATTTGCTTACAAACAATAAATTGAGAGGAAATTTTGAAGCATTAGCACAAAAGACAGAGAAAGCATACTTATACGTTGTCTGGACACACTAGACAACGATTGATCAGCCAAAGTAACAGAGAAATAAGAAATACACTTATCTAGAGATACAACAATAGGGGACTAGCTAGTCATGTAGTCAGAAGCTCTTGAGTCAGTAACCCAAGGAGTAGGTCTCTGAGATGCATGAGGCATAAAATTACCTGAGCAAGAATGGCTGTGAGATGCATGAGGAATAAAATTACCTGAGCAAGGATGGCTGTGGAAGTAGAAGGATGGGCAGTAGGCTAATGTACTTGTTCAACAAATTTATTATATTCTTCTCTTATAAGCACAAGGCAGCTGTTTGCAGGATGTGACTATAGGTGATGATTAGGCCCATTTAGATAGACATCATTGCCCTCAGAGGTGTAAGTAACTTGATTTTCCCTAAAAGGCTTGCCAATCTTATCCCAACACTAATTACGCACAATGCGTATGCTTTTGAGTTACATGATGGTTGCCTCCATCACCTCTACCATGATCCCTTCCTGAGTCACAACCACGTCTCCTACCTCTGCTCTCTACGTTCTCTCTGTCTCAATGTGTCAAGACCGTCCCATGGTTGCATGTTGCTGCTTCTAGGTTCTCAATTTTAGTGTGGATTTCTTGTAGATCCAAGTTTGTGATTTCATTTAGATATCTAATAATGCTTGAGAATTGCCTTTTCTCAATTTGTTATTTCTTTTATGAACTATTAAGTACGACACGAAAACAATCAAAACTAGCATTGAGCAATGAATGCAACATGAAGCATTTTAGAATCTTCTCGCTTAGGGTCGTTTGGGTACTTGAAAATCTATTAATTGAAAACAAATTACAAAAAAGTAAAAATAAAAAATAAATTATCTGATATTTAAAAAAAATTTATGAAACTCATTACGAGTAGGGAGGGACTAAAAAATCTATTACGCGCCTGTTAAGTAATCCATTATGCACGCATCCTCAAATAAAAAGAAAGCTCGCCTCCCTCTTTCTCTCTCTACCCAACCATACTCTCCCTCTTCTCTCTGTACCCGACCCTTGTCTCCATCTTCTCTCTCTGCCCATGGCTCTCGCGACTCCCACCTCCTCCTCCTCGTTACCCGAAGGAGACACAGAGCTGGAGCCCTCTCTCACTCCTTGCCCTAGAAAACCTCCTGGTCCATGGACCCACGAAGAGATGGTTCTTGAGTCTCAACAACATGTCGCGGAACTCCTTGCTCGGGCCTTGCATTCCACGAAGAAGTTTAGGAGGGATCCATCATCTGAGTCCTAGAGGGATCGTAAGGGTGAGCTCTTCTTTTGGGGGAGTTTTGATGTAAGACCTTTTGGAGATGGGTTTTGTTGGTTTAGCGTTTTGATGGCGGTTAGGGGCCTTTAGTTGGGTTTTAAAGAAGCTAAGTTTATGGGATTTAATGAAGGATAGCTGCAAAGAAGCTATGGTCTTCTCCATATGACTGCTGCTTTAACGGATACTCCATACTCCGGCCTAGAAAACCCCCTCGCCCTAGAAAACTCCCCGGTCCATGGAACCACGAAGAAACTCTGATTATTCACAGGTTGCAGGGCAAATGTTGTTGCTGGATTTGGTTAGTTGCAAGGCAAATATTGTAGCCATTGTCGAGCCATTTTTGGATGCTCAATCAAGTGTAGGTGATGCCAATGCGTAGGCTCACAGGTGATTTCATTATGTCCAATGAAATTGGGCGATTGGAGAAGGTTGGGGTAATTCTTCTTCGCCACTGTTCCAGAGAGAAGATTATGAAGATGAGTACTGTAAAATTGAGAGAGAGACAATGGGTTATGGTCAGAGAGGGGATTCTGATGATGGGTTCCTGGAGATTTTAGAGAGAGAAATTGGTTGGACAAGAGAAAATTTGAGGATGAGTGCCTGTAAATTTGAGAGTTTATGGTCCTGCAGATTTTAGAGAGAGAAATTGGTTGGAATAGAGAAAATTTGATGATGAGTGCTTAAATTTGAGAGTTTATGCTCCTGCAGATTTTAGAGAGAAATTGGTTGGAAGAGAGAAAATTTATGGATGAGTGCCTATAAAATTGAGAGTTTATGGCCAGCGAGAGAAGGTATAAACTTTTAAGATGTCAAACAACCACCTTACTGCCCCGATAAAATTAACACAATATTTTTTAGCCAAAATAGTAATAATGCATTTCCCAGATTTCTTCTGAACATATATATTAATACATTACGCCAGTAAAATATTTCCTATGACAATATATTTCTAGGTTTCTTCTAGACATTTCCCAGATTTTTTAGTCTTTGCTTTAAAAAAGTGTTGGCTTAGTCATATACATTTACTCACCAAAAAAAGTCATTTACTTTTGACTCAGCATAATTGCTAGATTTTTCTTCAAATCGATGTTTGCCTGAACATGTTAAGAAAATATGAATATATGATAATTACAATTCTTGCTTTATGTTGTGAATGGTGATGCAGGGGATATCTTCTGAGTGTTTTTTTGCTGGAGTTTGCTGTGGTGGTTTAATAACTCTTCCCATCCAGGTCATACAATGGCACTGCCTTGTTTCATGGATATGTTTTCCATTGAACCACTATGTCTGATCGTATCTCTTCAACTGTGCCCTTGTTCATTTATCTCGATTCCATGATCATCTCCACTTTCAGATGCTCATTATGTTCAGTTCTGATTATCACTCATAAAAATGTTATTCTTGCGACAGTTCGGGATTGGATTCTTTTTGAGAGAGCGGCCAGTTGTGGCCCTTACCAGTGTTGCTACAGCTGTGGTATGAGCAAGCCCACCTTTGATTCTCTTTCTTTTGCAATTGTTCTATATGCACTGTCAAACTCTAAAATGTTTCCATACTAATTAATATTTATTCAGGGCATATGGACGGTCTTTCCATATTTGATTGCAGCCGCCACAACAGTGTTCCTTTTCTTGCGTCAACGATATTCCAAATGAATTGCAGCACTCTAAGATGCCATGCAGTTTTGTTGATTCTTCAAGTCTTAGGAAAGGAGAGTTTTTTGGGAAAATAGCCCGGGCTTAATTGGTTACTGCTTGACGATGTGCAACGCAACGTCCTAAGCTCAATTCTTACGAAGGGTAGAGGCTCTCTCTCCACTGACTCACCCAAAAAAAAAATAAGACCCGGGTCATTCATTTGAACTATTTGTTCTATTCTTAAGCTTTATGATCAAATATATGTATAAAAACGATGCAGGAGAAGTTTGGAAAAAGTAAAGTTTGGAAAAGGTAGAGGAAACGCATAAAAAGGTTCACCAATTGAGTTAACAAGAACCAATGACATGCATAAAAGTTTGGAAAAGGTTTTGGAAACGCATAAAAAGGTTCACCAATTGAGTTAACAAGAAGTATTCATCAACTATTATTAAGTAAAAAGGGTACCATAAAAACACATATAGGCATGGCATAAGATGCCAATGCTTTCAAAAGATGGAAGGAAACGTCAAATAGCTTCATTATGTATTGATGAGTCAAATAGCGTCAAATAGCTTTATAATTAGTTCAGTGGTAGGAATCAAACTTGAGGCATTACATTGCTCGTGTCTATTTCGAGTTAAATTGCTAAGAGTGCATTGGAATTCCATCCCAAACCATGGTTTGGAGGCATTTTCAAATCGAATAAAATGAGGTCCTACGCTCGTATTTTTCGTACATGAAAAGTTAATGGTGAATTTTGAGCCCTTTCCTGGAAGCAGTTAAATGGTTTCCATGGAAAAGAAGAAAATGCAGGATTTGAAGATCATGCCTGAACTGATTCTTGGGTTTCTGTGGAAGGGAGAGAGAGATGAAGGATTGCAGGCCATGCCTCTACTTCACCGTAACTCTGGGATGTTTTCTTTTGCCAAAATTTTGGTGGATTCAATGCTTTGAACTTGGGGCTTGGTGTTCGGTAATAGTAGATCAAATTGTACCTCACTGAAAATTTGAGATGTTTTGTACAAAGTTTAATGGATTTAGTTTGGGGTGCGGTTTGTATAGAGCCTAGGCTCTAAACAATCAAATTAGAGCTTACCTTCAAATAGTATCGAGAAATGTGGTTTCAATACTGAAAAACCTTAGTGATGGCTTTAAAATATATTTTCATCTTTATTTATAAAGTTCAAAGCTTCAAAACTATTGTAGATTGACAGGTCTATGAAAACTTGAAAATATTGAAATTTGACGGTCCAAAAATGTGTTACAAAGTACACTATTTTCAAAACTTCAAAAATTATTTTTTTCTCATGTCCATGTATCTTGATGTCGAGATGATCATTTCGAGAATATTTGGGTATCAAAACAACTTCTTCTAATGAAATTTTTGAGGTAGGCTCACATTTGATTGTTTAGAGCCTCGACTCTATATAAACTTTTCCCTTTAGTTTGGGGCTCGGCTTTGGTTGCAATAAACCAAAATATTCGCCTTATCATTTGTCATTGTCACAGTAGAATCTTCCCGAATTGTCAGTGATTCAAACAAGCGGGTCCGAGTCTCCCTTTCTTCATGTTTTCCTCATTTTTCTTCTTGGGGTAAAGGATGAGACAAAATAGTGTGAAAGTCTTGAATTGGGTTCGTAAGGCATCCATCTTGTTTGAGCTCTGTTTAAAACATAATTTTTTAAAAACATCTATGATCTTTTGAAATCCACGAAGAACTTAGATTCTTTTAAATGATATTTAAAATTTGTGTTTTTTTAATGGAAATAATATAAGTCCGCATTTTATATTTTTCAAAATAATTATTTTAAAAAATTTCTTTCCTACACCTTTATCATTTCGTTGATTTAATATCTTTGAATTAGGTTAGAGATAAGCATATTAAAAGTGGAAGTAATTTAGGAATCTTGATTTAACAAAAATTTTGATAAAAACTTTTTCCTAACATGTGCCCTAAAGAGGAAATGCAAAATATTCTCCAAAAAAATGATCCATCAAAACCACTATATATCGTTCGATGAAAAATCTAATTTTCTTCTAAGTACAGAGAGTCGTTATAAATAGCAAGTGAGAGCACAACTAAAATTTAAGTAGTAAGGAATTCAGGGTGAGCTTCAAATATGTGGATTTGCTTAAGCATTCCGTTGCCACAGAAGTCTGTTTAATTCCTTTGTTTCAATTTTTCCATTTTATTATTATATATAACATAGCAATTTAGATGAATTACTATTATTCATTTTTGGGTTCATGTGTTTCTGTGAAGTGCAATCCTATATTGAAAATCATATTTGTTTCTTACTTCCAAAGATAATCCCATACCTTGGGCTATGCTTCCAACAAATAAAAAATAATTCCGTACTTCAATATGCTTGCAACATCTGCATACACCGTTGTGGTCTTATTGTATGCTTGCAATAAATCTATCATATGTTTTGTGCCGTAACAACATGGTAAGGATATAAAAATTGATACTAAGTAAGGACATAGTTCAATGGTTTTAAAGCATTCCCCGAGTTGCTCACTATGGTCTAAACCAGGATAGCTCTAGAGGAGGAAGGAATCGAGGTCAATGGAGAGTGATTCTTCTTTATCAAATTATTAGCAAAATACCCATTACTGACAGTTCCATAAAATGTTTTGGAAGTATATATTTTGTGCCCATTGCCCACTATTAGGCAATAGCTAATAAGGGAGATTAGAGCTGAACTATCATGACAATTTGATCCAGGTGCAATTCATGAAAATCAAGCAGGCACGATCTGCATTTTTAAATAAGAAAATTCCAAATTCATTTTCATTTGCAACCATACAAGAAACATGGCTTGAGTTTGTCGGTGCTCCCAATTTACACAATGGTATGGCTTTCATACGTCTATAACTTCTCAAAAGGAGAAATAGACCATGTGTGGAGCCTGATTGAATGCTGTCCTGAAGAAGGAAAGTGGGGTGCGCACTCTTATCACATTTAGTGCAAAATTAAATTAGGATGGAAAGCACACCCCTTTATTGTGATCCATAATTACCTAGTATTATAATATCGGTGAGGTTTGTATAAAAATTTAAACAGTCAAAGGTGCACCTCCAAATTTTATCATAACATACATTTCGGTATCGAAAATTTTTAGGATGATCTCTAATTATAAAATTTTAAACTCCAAAAATGATTCAAATCAAGCTGATTTATAAATGCATGAACATCTTGAAAATGGATGGTTTAGATAACGCGTTGCAAGATGTAATATATTTGGGACTTAAAATCTTTTTTTTTTCTCTCTATATCCATAAATTTAGAGGCAGAGATGATGATTTTCCAACATCAAAATAGCCTTTCCCGATATATTTTTGAGGTGCACTTTAATTCTACTATTTAAGGTGTCAACCTTATTTGTACTATGCTTTTAATAAGGAAAAAGCATTTTGCGACCTAGGTCCGCAGGTACCAAAATGCTTGTGAACTACGGAAGCTGTAGGATAATAAGACTTAATATAGAAGTGAGATTTTCAAAAGTCTCAGAATGGCCCAAGAAGGTTCAAGATTGTGCCTTAGGGTCTCCTAAGAACACCTGCCAAGTTTCGTCACAATCAGACGAGTTAAAGCAGTGCATACAACAAAACAATTTCGGGAAATTTTGCTTCCATCATGCTGAAATGGACATTGAACTACAACACCATTATCAGAGTGTCAAATGGTCTCCAAATCATCGTCATTGGATTCAGAATGTCAAAAAATCCCGGGGTATCAATTTTCGACACATTCAGATGCCTCTAGAGCAAGTTATCGTCACATTACCCAAAATGGATAGTTTATACACTATTACGGTGCAACCTCGGTGAACAAATTTCCATTAATAGAAACTGTGGTTCTCAGTTTTGGCAGCAAACTTCACATGGCCGTACCTTCCTCATCCCTGGTCAGATGGAGCCCAAATTTTGAGAGCATGTTTGTCTCATTGACCCGGTCGATTTGATATGTGGCACGCACGATGGCACGGCCTGAGTCGAGAGAAATAGAAGAGACAAGTTCGCCGGAAAGTTCCAAAAGCAACATGAAATTTTCAGCAACACGTCCCCTTGATCGAACGCCTGCATCACAGCGCTTGTGGATCGAATCATCATAAAATAGAACTCGTTACGACCACAAGGTCGGGAGCTTCCTTCTTGTAAAACCTCACACGTGATGGATGGTCAAATTCCTTAGAAATCAGGGATGAACAGTGGCAAATTCCGACCACCGGAATCTAGATTTCAACTAAAGTTTTCCAATTTGGAAAGCGGTCATCCAGGCATCAAATTGAGCCATTCATTTTGCAGAATGATCGTGGCAACTTGGTCATCATGCTACAGCGAAGAACACTAAGAAACGGGGTGAATCCTAAATCTAAAGTTGCACGTTTTCTCATGTTTTTACCACGTCATGATTATGATCTAAAACTCTGATCCATGGCTCGAAATGTATTCCAGAACGACCGTCTTCTCGAACTTATCAAGAATACAATATTATTTTGGCAAGGAGAGAGTCGGAAAGGCCCCGAATCAGCCACGAAATCCTTGGACGGATGAACGATCATTACAAGGACTGATTTGAAATTTCACAGATTGTTGGTGTAGGGGCCAAAATATCATTTTGCCCCCAATTTTTTAGAATTTCTTTAAGTCAATTAAATGTTAATTTTCATCAATTAGGTCAAAATTTGATTTTCCACCCATGTTTGGACTTACACTCTATATATATATCACGTGATGACATTATACAGAGGATTCAGTTTGGCTTAATAAAAATCATATCTTTTGTTCACTATTGGATCACGTTTGAAAGAAATACGAAGGAGAGAAAAAATCTGGATGGGTACCTTAGGCCTCAAAAGTAACTTTCTCTGTCCTCTCTTCTTTCTCTATCCTCTTTCCTTTCTCTCCTCTTTTATCTCTTTTCTTTCCCTCTCTTCTTTCCTCATCCTTTCTCTCTTATATTTTTCTCTCTCTTCTTTCCCTCTCTCATTTCTCTCTCGTTTTTCCCTCTCTTCTTTCTCTCTCCTCTCCTCTTTCCCACCTTTGGTTGCTTAATCAGAGGGCAGGTTGAGCCTTGTGCTGCCGTGCTAGTTTTGTCGCCGAGCAATCTAACCGCCATGTCGGTCTAGTTACCGTGCTTGTCTAGCTGCCTCGTCAGACCAGTCACCGTGCCAGTCTTGTCGTCAAGCAGTCTAGCCGTCGTGCCGGTCTAGTCATCGTGCTCGTCTAACTGCCGTGTCAGACCATCCGTTGTGCCAGTCTTGTCGTCGTGCCGGTCTAGTCATCATGCCCATGTAGCTGCCGCGCCAGACCAGCCGCCACGCCAGACCAGCCGCCACGCCAGTCTTGTCACTGTGTCAGTCTAGCCATCGGGTCAAACTTCTTCTCTCTTTCTCTCTCTTCTCTTTTTTCTCTCTGATCTCTTTCATAGATGGCAGCATAAGTCGTCGTCCATGTTTTACTCCCCTTCTCTCTCTTCATTCATTTGCTCTCCTCTTTTTTCTTTTCTCTTTCTTTCTCCCTCTTTCTCTCTTCTTTTTCTCTCTGTCTGCACGGCTGCACGGTAGTACCCACTACAGAGCGACATTTCTCTTTCTTCTTTTCTCTCTCCTCTCGTCTCTTTCTCTCTCTTCTTTCTTCTCTCTATGTCCGCAAGGCAGTACCCACTGCTGAGCTAGACATTTCTCTCTCTCTCTCTCTCTCTCTCTCTCTCTCTCTCTCTCTCTCTCTCTTCTCTCTCTCTCTCTCTCTCTTCTCTCGTCGTCTCTCTCTCTCGTCTCTCTCTCTCTCTCTCTCTCTCTCTCTCCTCTCGTCTCTCTCTCTCGTCGTCGTC